ACGAAAAATTCAACTGGTCTCCTCAAGAATTAATGATGTTGAAGCATAGACAAATCTTTTTCTGTGTTGATGGTTACCACTCATTCAAATCTGTTGAAAATAAAGGGCTTCTCAATTTGATGCAGAGCTGTGTTGAGTTAGGTGCCAAATATGGAAAGTTTGATGTTTCTGACGTTGTTGTGGGAAAATATTAGTAACATTTAATTTTTAATTAATTTTCATGTTATTTTATTACACTTGCAGTGTGATTACTTCACCAGTGTGTTTTATTACACATATGATCTTGTATTTTTGAGTTCTGCTTTTTAAATATCATTTGTAAAAATTTGCCTGTTTGGTAAAATTGCGACTCGTGCAGATGGGTCGTGGGTTGGGTCGGGTCGGGTTGGGTTGAAAAGTTGCATTTTCAGGCGGGTTGGGTTGGGATGGGTTGAGTTAAGTGATGGGTTGGGTTGGGTTGGGTCAGTAAAAATGGACCCATGTCCACCTCTGCGCGTGTTGCCCGCTTGCTGTTGTGGGAAGGAGCGATCGAACGATGCCGATGTCTCCTTCTTTGCTGGCTTCAAACGAACATCATGAAAATGACAAATATGGTGATGATGGTCATGATGGTAGTGCTGGTGAAAATGATGATGATGAAGGAGAAGAAGAGGTTAACGATTGTGGTGATGGCTAGTGGTAATGTGATTATGTTACGATGGGGAGGAGGTAAAAGCAATGCTGGTGAAAAAAATGGTGATATGTAAATCCTCATAAGTTATTACTACCATTGTTAGCTTAGCTCGGACGGTAGGGTTTCTGCCATGTCTCGCCTCATTCATTGCTAATGCTGGTTGACCTCCTTCGAATGCCGTTGAATGCCGTCTGCTTGAAACGCACTTACAAATTATTATACATGCTTGTACGTGTGTCGCTAGACTTGCCACACGTGCACAACATTTGATGATGTTGATGATGATGGTGTTGAGGATGGTGATGATGACGTTGATGATGACGTAGATGATGATGTTGATGGTGATGTTGATGATGATGTTGATGATGGTGGTGTTGAGGATGGTGATGATGACACGCATCTACTTTTTTGTTCTCGCCCAGCGATAATATGCATCAATTAAAAGAATATCATCTGCTCGCTCTGATCTTCTTCCAATATTTTTTCCATCGTCATCATTTTTTCCCCTCGCCATCATCATCATCATCATCATTAACAACATCATCATCGTCAACAACAACAACATCATCATTATCAACAACATCATCAACAACAACGTCATCATTATAACCAGCATCATTATTAATTTCATCGACAGGATAACTTAAAATAAAATCGTCTTCATCTCATCATTACCATCATAATCATCATCCTCATTATCATCATCACTATAGTCATCACCACCATCATCATCATCACAATCATCTTCATCATCATCATCTCCGTCACTACCACTATCACCACCATCATCATCAATTAAAATCGTATTAAAAAAATTTTTTCCCTCCTTCCGCCAAAATTGACCGAGCAAACATGGAAAGATTAATCATGGAGGTTGACGATTTCATGCTCCTCTGACCAAATAATAATAATAAGAATAATAATTATATTATTATTACTATTATTGTAATTATTATTACTATAATTATTGTTTTTATTGTTATTATTATTATCATCACACACAAACACACACACACACATATATATATATATATGTATATATTAATTATTTTTTTATTTAATACATTTTATTTTAATTCGCATTATTAGACATTTCTTTTCATCATTTGTTTTCTTGTTTTGTTGAGTGAATGAATAAAATATGTTTTCATTAGTAGTAGTAGTGGTTGTAGTAGTAGTAGTAGTAGTAGTAGAAGTAGTTGTAGTTGTTGTTGTTGTTGTATTAGTAGTTGTAATAGTAGTAGTAGTAGTAGTAATAGTAGCAGTATTAATATTAGTAGGAGTGGTAGTAGTAGTAGTTGTAGTAGTAGTAGTTGTAGTAGTAATTACATTAATTATAATTATTTGTATTATTGTTGTTATGAACGACAACCATTAACATGGTAATCGTCAATAATTGGAGTTCTTAACACAGGTGTGCTCTCTTTATTTTCACCATGTATGTTTTTGTTGTTCTTGCATCTATTTTGTTTGTTTGTTTGTTGTTTGTTTGTTTGTATGTTTGATGTTTGTTTGTTGTTTGTATGCCTGATAGCCCGTAGTTTGTATGTTACCTGTTTGTATAGCTTTTTGTATTAAACGTACAAAAATGATGTCTTTTTTAGTCCATGCAAGTATAACTTTGTTGCAGCTGCATTTTTTTGTATGCTTGTAAAACTGTCATTTTGTATCATGCATACATGCATGTGCATTTGTGTATGCTGGTGCATGTGTGCAAATATGAGTGCCACATATTTGTATGTTCTGTATGTAAATATATTAAAGATCACATACATGCATGGTATATACAGACATACATAGGTACGATCAAGCAAACTAACCAAAAAACAGACGAACATACATACATACATGCATACATACATACATACGTACATACATACATACACACATACATACATACATACATACATACATACATACATACATACATATATACATACATACATATATACATACATGACATACAGATAGTTGCTACAGGTCATCCAGAGACATTTCAGCTTGAGATTGATAAACTTGTTGGTTGTTTGATAGAAATTGAACGTTGGATGTTGAGCAATTCCTTGATGTTGAACCGGGATCAAATAAAGTCGCTATCAATTGCAAGTTTGATGCATTTCAGAAAATTCTACAAGATTCGGCACTATTTGAACAGATCTAGCATGGAAACACTGGTACATGCTTTTATTACATCCAGATTAGATTATTGTAACTGTTTATATCAATAGCTGTACTTCAGTCTATTCAAACTCGACCTGCAAAACTTGTCACAAAAAATCTGAAGTTCGATCACGTGACTCTAATCTCGAATGACCTACACTGGCTAAAAATTGAAAAAAGAATAATTTTCAAAATTGCTGTCTTAACGATTCGGTAATTACATGGTTTAGCACCACAGTATTTGGCAGACTGTTCATCAGAAAAACATCTGTGTTGGGTTCGCAGTTGAGATCAAATGACATGAACCTCCTAGTTGTGCCGACAACAAATTTACAGACCGGATCACGCAATATTGCTGTTGCTGGACCGGTGGTTTGGAACAGTCTATCGGCGTTTCTAAGAAGACCAGATATATCATTGTTTTTATTTAAAAAGGAGCTGAAGACTCATTTATTTTTGCAGATTTAACAATGTCTTTGTCTTCGTTTGATTAATGTTTGGTTTGTTCATTTATTTTAGGGAGCGCTTTTGAGATCTTTTTTTAGTAATTAGCGCTGTACAAATTGACTTGTAATAATAATAATACATACCTACATACATACATCCATTCGTTCGTTTGTTCATTCATTCATTCATTCTTTTTTTTTCCTTCACTCGCCCGTTCAGTAATTAACTCATTCATTCCTTCATTCATTCACTCATTCATTCGTTTGTTCGCTCGCCCGTTCATTTGGTCATTCGCTTGTTCATCCATTCATTCATCCATCCACCCCACTTGGTTTGTTTCCTTTCCTTCGTTTCTTGGTTGTTTTTAATCACATATGGCTCTAACGTTACAACAGTGCCCCGTCTGCTTTAACCACTACAGAAGCACTCCAGACGGGAAGTTATGTCGGCACGGAGGTAAAGTGAAAGGACAGGAATGCTCGGGGTTCCGGAAAAAATTTGATCCATCGGGCGCAAGGGCTGCTTCGCCTCTCGATGCCGCACCCGACCCCAAGCCTAGGTTATCCACACGGTCGACGGCCGCATCGGTCTCTGGTGATCCTCTCGACCTGGATTACTCTGGTGTTTTTGAAAAGCTGACGGCCGCGCTGAAATGTGTACCGGTGTACGACCATATCCCTAAGCCATGCAGGGAGAAGTTTGCACATGATCTGAACGCCTTGCTGACGGCTGTTTGTAATGACCCTGGTGACCCGGCTGACTGGGTTAGACTCCACTGTTTTGTCCCATACGTCTTACAGAAGACTTCCAGAGAGCGTCGCCAGGTCAACCAGGGCAATCTGGTCAACAAGCGTCTAAGCGAATATTCAACTATTGGTCTTGAAACCCTGGTACTGTGCTTTGATGGGTTCAATAATGCCAAATCACAAAAGCACAACCCCGATCGGTGGATCAACGCTGTGTCATTTTGTATTGAACAGGGAAACCTGTCCTCGGCTGTCAGACTTGTCTGTTCGCCAGAGGGCCTGGCGGAGAGCTCGTCAGCCACTTTCGATAAATTATGTTCCATCCACCCAAAAATTCCGGTAGACAGGCGGTTCTTCCCCGCATTGGCACCAACGGTTGGTTGCGTTTCTCCCGCCGAGGTGCTGAGAGCCGTTAAATCGTTCAAAAACGATTCTTCCGGAGGTCTGGATGGCCTACGACCCCAGCACCTTAAGGATGTTTTTTCTGGCCCCTTGTCAATCGAAGACACACTGAACTCCTAAACCCAATTCATTAATTTGATCCTATTTGGAGCTTGCCCACTCTCCGTCCGCCGGTTCTTCTTTGGAGGCCGGCTAATAGCTTTAAATAAAAAAGACGGAAGGGTCAGACCGATTGCGGTCGGGAACGTTTGGAGGAGGTTGACCGGCAAATGTGCCTTGGCCCTGGTCGTGGTCGAACTCAAGACCAAATTCTACCCGACTCAGTTGGGTGTCGGGATTAAGGGTGGCGCTGAAACCGCTGTTCATGCGTTTCGAAGATTGGTCACCGACTTCCACGATCAATGGGGGTTTCTGAAACTGGACTTTAAAAATGCCTTCAACGCTTTGAGAAGAGACTCGATGTTGGAGGCTGTTAAACTTTTTTGCCCCAATATCTATAATTTTTGCCATTCTGCCTATGGCGGAGTCTTTTCTTTTAGCTACCACTCTTGAGTTGTAGAATCGTCCGAGGGGGTACCGCAGGGTGATCCCTTGGTCCTTAGCTGTTCGCACTAACTCTTCATTCACTCTTAGAAAAAACTTCGTCTATTTTTGTTTGCGCTTATCTGGATGATATCAGCATTGCTTCGGACGGCCCAACTCTGGCCGATAGCTACGAATATCTGAAGCATAACTCCGCTGCAATTGGTTTAGAGTTAAACATTAAGAAATGCGAACTTCACTGCCAAAGTTTATTTCAGGTGCCACATGCGCTGGCTGGAATACCCAGAGTTGGTGCATCAGAACTGAGTTTTTTAGGCACACCCTTGGTCGAGGGCGATTACCAAATAAAGTTTTTTGACCAAAGCTCTCTGAGCTCAAATTCGCCCTGGGTCGTGTTTCCTGTCTTTTGGCCCATGATGCCTTGACTATTATCCTTAGTTTGCCCAAATTGATGTACTTCCTGCGTACATCCAAACACATTGATCTTTCTAAATTAGGCAAATTTGACAGAGCCCTGCGCACCGCCCTGTCGTCGATTTGCAATGTTCAATTGACCGACAGTGGTTGGTCCCAGGCTCAGCTGCCGGTGCGATTTGGTGGGCTGGGGTTGCTTAGCGTGGTTCAGCTGGCTCCTGTTGTTTATAATTCTTCTGCCGCTGCCACTCTCGACCTGCAGTCTTCCCTGCTCCACCGGTTTTTTCGTTGCCGCGATATTCTTCCCCCAGTGTCAGCCCCGGGGGACCGTACGCACGTCCAAATTTTGAACGAAGAATATAAAAAGATCTTTCAAAATTTGTTGTCTTCATGCGGCGACGACTTTTCCACCGCTCGTTTGTTAGCCATGTCCAGCGTTGCCAGCTGTGGGTGGTTGAGATCATGGCCCAACACCTCTGTGGGCACCAGGCTTGACGACGAGTCTGTGAGATTTGCCATTGGCTTCAGACTTGGCCTGGTCATTCAAAATAAATACACGTGCCGATGTGGCGCTGGGGCGGACGAGTTTGGGCACCACGGTTTGGTTTGTCGCCTGAGTGGGGGCCGTCAACTACGTCACTCAGCATTAAACGACTACATTTGTCGACTCTTCTCCAAGGCTTCAATCCCAGTTCTCAAGGAACCATCCGGTATTTCTGCGCATGATGGTAGGCGCCCGGACGGATGCACACTAATACCTTGGAGAGCCGGTAGATGTTTGGCGTGGGATGTTACGGTCCCTGGCACCCTTGCCGAACGATATGTAAACCTGACAAGTAAAGAATGCGGTTTGGCCGCGGCCAGGGCAGCGGACGAGAAAATGAAAAAATATGGGAACGCCCTCCCCTCAATGGAATTCTTGGCAATATGTAGCGAGGTTCTCGGCCCGATGGACCCCAATACCCTTAAATTTCTTAAGGCAATATGTAAAATGATCAGCGTCAGATCAGGCGACAGCAGGAAACTGTTTTTTGCAACTAACCACATTTCGTGCTTGTTGCAGCGGTTCCTGCGTGTCTGTGTGCTTGAAAATATCCAACTGAATGCCGACATGTGCAATTAACGACAAATCAAAGTGTTTATCCATTTGTTACAAGATGTTTGACGGTTCAGTGTCACTCATCATGTTTTGGTTTATACATACATACATACATACAAACATACAAACATACATACATACATACATACATACATACATACATACATACATACATACATACATACATACATACATACATACATACAGACAGACATACATATATACATACATACATACATACATACATACATACATACATGCATACATGCATACATGTGTTATTACCCAGAGATTGGATGCATTCGGCGGATGTTAGGTTGAGAAGATGGTGGAATCCTTGGAGCCTGTTGTTAAGTTTAGCAAAAACGTTGCAGCCGAAGCTAAAATGATATTATCCGTTAGATTTAAAGATTGAAAAAGTTAACATTCGAAACGCTCTACAACTATTGACATCAACGGATACAGTTGCACCGGTTACGGAAGAAACCATAGGTTCCCTAAGGGAGAAACATCCAAATGCTCCCTCAAACAGAAAGGAATGTTCACCCAAAGAGGCTTCAAGCTTAACGGTTAATTCACAACAGGTTCTGCACTGTTTAAAGTCTTTTCCTAAGGGAACTTCTGACGGCAGAGATGGTCTCACGCCTGCACATCTAAGAGACGTTACGTCTTCAAAGGCAGACTTTTCTGAACTAGTAAATTTGATTGCCTCATTTGTCAACCTGATTCTAAGCGGGAACTGTCCGCCGGTGATGGCTCCTTATTTGTTTGGTGGAAGACTGGTTGCTCTGTTAAAAAAAGATGGGGGTATCAGGCCAATTGTAGTTGGTTGTGTTTGGAGGCGTTTGGCTGCGAAATTTGCCATGCACATCATTAAAGATAGAGTTTTTCCCCTTCTTCAACCTCAGCAAGTAGGCGTTGGTGTTAGCGGTGGCGCAGAGGGAGCGATTCACGCCGCTAGACGTTTTGTTGAAAACATGGATGATGATGAATTTTTTTTGAAACTTGATTTTTTCAATGGGTTTAACTCTCTAAGGCGGGATCATTTGCTGCCCACTGTGAAATCGGTTGTGCCAGAGTTGTACAACTTCTGTTTGTCGGCTTATGATAAGCCATCCATTCTGTTTTTAGTGGCACAAAGATTTTGTCAGAGGAAGGAGTTCAGCAAGGTGACCCACTGGGTCCATTGCTCTTCTCTCTTGCAATCAACCCTCTGTTGAAGTCTTTTTAATCCAAACTCATTGTCGCCATGACATGGATGACATTTTACTTGGTGGAAAGATTGAAAATGTGCTGAGGGATTTGGATTCAATTATGGGTCGTGAGACTGATTTGGGTTTGAAATTAAACTTTAAAAAATGCGAATTCTTCACAAATTATCCAAACTTAAAAGAAAATTTTTTCAAAATTAAACTGTTTCCTAAAATTGACATCGACTTTCAAGGCTCTTTCCTATTTTCTTGCAATAAACGTAATATTTTCTGGCGTACTTGCCTCGTTTGACTTTTTTTAAGAACGTCGCCCAGCTTTGATAATTTGATGCTTCAATGTTTTGATCAAACTCTCCGTGACGGCTTCCAATCGATTTTCAACGTTTCCCTTGACCCGAAAGGTTGGTTACGGGCAACCCTGCCCATCTCTGTTGGTGGCTTAGGTTTAGGTACCGTGATGGATTTAGCACCTTCTGCCTTCTTGGCTTCTGCTGCTGCCACGGTTCCTTTCCACAATTTGTTGTTGCCCAGGGATAAAATATATTCCGACAATTTTAGGACCCAAGTTTTTGATGGGTTCTGGACCGTCCACGGTGCGGAGATTGGTATCGAAACCCGTTCTCAAAAGGAGTGGAACGCTCCATTTATCAGCAGCTCAGTTACTAAGCTACTAGATTTGAACCAATCAAATTTTGATAAGGCCAGGATAATGGCTGTAAAAAGTGAGTTGGAATCATCTTGGTTGAAGGCTGTCCTAAACTCCGCCAATGGTACCAGGCTGGACGACTCTTGTGTTCGTGTCAGTTTGGGACTGAGACTCAGTTTACCCATTTTAACCGAGTATGTTTGTTTATGTGGGGCTAATGTTAAACCCCTGGGCTACCATGGTCTTTCTTGTCGGTTGGGCCCTGGCAGACAGGCTCGACACTCGGCCATGAACAATTTTTTGGTCAGGTGCTTTCAGAGGGCAAACATACTCACAATTAAAAAACCCACAAGTTTCATGGAGAAAGGTAGCCTCAGGTCCGACGGGTATACTATTTTTCCATGGGCGCAGGGACGTTCCCTTGCATGGGATGTTACGTTCCCCCATACCATGGCTGAAAGGTACATTAATCTTACCTCCCATGAGGCGGGTGCTGCTGCCTTAAGAGCCGCAGACTTTAAAAATTCAAAATATGCGGCTCTTGCAGAAAGCAAAATTTTTCAGCCAGTCTGTATTGAGACCTTTGGTCCAACCGATTTTCAGACTCAGAGTTTTCTGAATGAACTCTGTAGCAGGATTGTAGAAGTATCGGGTGACCCATTAGATAAGAGTTATGTAAATCAATCTTTCTCTATTTTATTTCAAAAATATAATTCTTTCTGTATTTTGAATGGAGCGTTAAAATACCTGTCTGTGCGAAGCGTTTAACATAGATTAAAGCTAAACCCGGATATGATTATTACTTCCTTATAGTTCTAATCAATTATGGGTTCATACATACATGCATACATACATACATATTTTCATATTTACATACAAACATTCATACATACCTACATGCATACAAACAAACATACATACAAACAAACATACATATATACATACATACATAAAGGCATGTTTCAATGTTTGCATATTGAATTATGCATAGGACGATATAATTAACCTGATGTTTGTAGCTGGCGTGGAAATAAATCAATTGTGATAGGAATGAATGAATGGCGGGGAAACAAATATGAAGGTGCACATTCATTATTAACTAATTAATTACTTTATTAACTTTTAATTAACGTCACCATCATCATCATCATTTCATTTCTTACCATCATCATCATCATGGGTGTGTCTGTACCATCATCATCATCATCGTCGTCGTCATTATCATCATCATAATCATCATCATCATCATCATCATGGGCATGTTTCAATGTTTCATTTTTTCTGTCATGTCATCAACTTCTTCATCAATGTTAATGTCATAAAACACACACATGCACGCACACAAATATGCACACCACGTACGTCGTACGTATACATAAATTGAGTATTAAATATTTTTTATTCGTTATAATGCATTTTCGTCAAAGGCAGAGCTGTTAACATGTTAATCTCTACTTGCGATTAAACTTTCGTGCCGCACATAATCCACACCACATTACACGACACCATGTATATGTGATGTCATGTATTCACGCGCAAGCCCCGCATCATACACGTACGGTAGTCTCTGAGTTTCGGACAGACAGTATTCAAACCCTGGCGTCGCGTGATAGCAGCACGAGACATGATTCTTATGATTATACACACTCAGGCA